TTTGTCAGAGCTACTGAACAATTTTGAAAATCAAATTCATTAACATTTATGCATTTTAATATCATAAATACTTATGATTAGAAAATGATGAATAATTTTTGTAAACTAAAATGAATTTGAATACTTTTCTCCGAACCCCATAAGTTTTCTTTCACTATTTCTCGTTTTATTACTTGGGGCCACCAAAGCAAATGCCATTAATGTGAACTTTCGATGGAAACGGGATACGACGTGAGCTCGACTCGCGTACAATCGAGCACTTGGGTGTGCGACTGGTGTGTAGGTCAAGCCTTCGTGGCTTGCAATGTTCTCGACGCTAGGTGTGGACCATGGCATACCAGGAATCTCCCCATAGAATATAGTAGATCCCTACGAATCTCTCAGACAATGCCTGTTTTTACGTCAATCTTTCTGGAATCCAAAGTACGCATTTTATATTTTCATCGAAACTATTTCTACTTCTACAAAGTTAGGAATTTATTTTTAAAATAAACGTTACGTTTGTATATTATCGTAGTTGCAATATTATTTGAAAAATATAAAATAACGATATATATATACGAACAAATGTTGCTTGTGCAATGTATTTTTGAAGTGAAAACTTTTTTAGAATCAGGGTGATTTGAAAATCGTGAAACGGAAGAACGTGAAACCGAAGAAACAAAAATAATTAATTAATTAATTAATAAAATTCTATATATAAAAATTCAGTGTCACAATATGTTTGTCCACTAATAATTCCAAAATTACTCAACTTATCTTAATGAAATTTATTTTATTTCATGTGATTTTTTAAAATTATTCTTTATTACTGATTCAAATTTTTATTTAGAGAGGTTATATAGGTTCTGTAAGGTTCTTTTAATAGATGGCACTGTATTACAATTTAATTGTTTCGATATATTCACGTCTATCTCGAAGCTTGGTTTTCCTTGAAGGTTCTAGTTAAAACTTCTACCGTGTGTGATCTACACACAACTGTTCTTTTTGCTTTTTACTAAATTATAATTCATCATATTAATTAATACTGTGTGTTGAGGATCTGTGGCACGATTGCTACTTGACATTTCGAAAGTTCTCTTCTGTTAAAAAGATTTGGCTTCTCACGACACGTTCTAACTTATTACGCAACACGTCGAATGTCAATGTCTGACCTGCCAATACCGTGACTACCGAGATACGCAAGACTAACTTTCATTTACAAAAAGTTTCCAATAATATTTTTTTTAACCGATTCTTTCGTCATATTCTTGCTCCTTAAATGCGTTCTTTTCAAATGATATTTTTCAAGTTATCCGATACAAATTTCTAAAACAATGTCTCGGTTAATTTATTATTGAAAAACTAACAAAAAAAAAAAACACTGGTTAATGATCTCTCAACTACAAGGTGTATAATCTTTGAAATCATTTGAAATAATTCTTTGAAAAACGTATTTAACAATTCTTTAGGATTTTTTGTACTTCTAGTTTATTACCTTTCAAAGAAAATATTCAACTTTCTAATGTAAATCCACGAAATATTATGATTCATTTCATTTCAAACGAGAAATTATAGCAACCGAGTTCAAATCTTTCGTACAAACAAATTTTTCCTTTGACTCAATCAAATAAAAAAACAAAAACTAAATCTAAATAAATTAAAATGATAAAACAAAAAAAAAAAAGAAAGTATTTATAAAATCGAGGAAGAGAACGGAAGGAGATGTTGTAGAAACAGGCGCCTTTGGCGGCTGGGTGTGGATAGATCTCTCGAGGCGTTTTATCTCGCGCCCTTTTTCGCGTGGGTGTCCTGTACTTTCGTTACGGTCGATCGTCAGCCACTATAGAGGCACCTAACTATATAGTAGGTGTGTATATATTCTTTCTATACATACAAATATATTTGTATGAGTTTTAGGTGTGCGTACGTGTTAAACTTAAATGCTACTTGACCAATTCGCTGCGCACAATATATACATATATACATACACATGTGTGGTGGTGTGCCACCTGTAGCTGGGACTTCGATATATACGTCGTCGTTGTGCAACGATAACTCGACTCCACCGTGGGACCGTGTAGTACATTTTACGATCGTTTGTCACACCCTCGCAATCGCGATTTCTTTTACGTCGCATTCACGCGCAAAGTACTCGCATTTGTTCTATGTGTGTGTGTGTGTGTATATGTGTTACTTTTTTTTTTCTATTAACATTTCTTTCCTTTTCTTTCTATCTTTTATACTTTATATCTATTTAACAGTACGCATCGAATATTTTTTTTCTTCTTCTTCATTCAAGGACGTGCGAATATGTTAACTCGATTCGATTCTTAGAATACATATGTATTTAAATGAATTTACTTACAGGATCTAGATTAATCTCTATACTTTATTATTATTATTATTATTTTTTTTTTTCTAGGTTGTTAGAATCGATTAATCCTTTAAACTATCATTGTTTTTTTCTTTCTTTCTCACAATCGTTTTGTTTTATCGTTTCATTAGTTCCTTCTTTTTTTTTTTTTTATTCTTTGTTCTCTTGACGTGTATCATTTATTTTATTGTATTAAATATAAATCGATTGAATAAAAATTGAATGATTTTATTTCATTGGTGCTATTGGTAATTATCATAATTATTATGATTAGTATTTATGCGATTTGTATAAATATTGATTGAAAATGTATTAGATCAAATAACTAATCTAAAAATAACAACCATTCTACGTTTGTTCATGCATATATGGGTCAAGACAATATTTATTCAAAGAGTTGTGTCTAATCGAATGATCATGACTAATCTTACGAGAAGATACGCTATCTGTAACAAGTAATAATGTAACCACTTACTAACCTGTGACCTGAATTCACGTCAATAATTTTTCTTTACAATCATTTTATGGCTCAATATACAAGGTGTTTCGTAATTTGTGGGACACGCTTCATAAACGAGCAAGAGACACAAAAGCAATGAGAACAACAAGTATAAAAATGTATTTAAAGTGCATACTTGGTGTTTGACTACCCAACAAATTTTTGATCTCTCGAAAATGGTACTGAATTCGAAAAAAAAAAATTCAGATGGGTATAAAACCTATTCTATTTTTAAAAAGATGTATCAAACTACTTGTAAAAAAATTGCGAAGTCTAAATATTAAAATAGCGACTTTAGGAGACACGTTCAAACACCTTGGGGTGTCAAACACCCACAGTGCACTTTAAGGGTTAAATATTTAATCATTTGAAAATATAGGTTTCCGCATAGAAAAATTGTTAAAAATTATTGAAAATTTTATACGAAGATTCTTATGACTTGCAGTAATGCAATAACCCAACACGTAGGATAATAGTCTTGCATATAAAAAAAAAAATGTTCATTTCTTGCAACATAAAAAGATAAAACATTAGTAATTTTTCAAATTGACGCGAATCAGAAGCTTACACCATGATTATTACTTACAACGTGTTCTTCTAATTAGATAATGACGTCGATATTTTATATTCGTACGTTCACCTGACTTTATAAAATATACGAGTAAATGATTGTACGTATATTATTTGCTTTCGTCCTTAATCGTATCAATTATCGATAAATTCGAATTGAAGGGGCACACGACTGGAATTTAAAATATACTAATAAACGAATATGTATTTATGCAAACACATACATACCTACATACGTGAAACTTGGGTTCAAAGGATCACGAGAAATCAAGCGTTTAGATTTAATACATCATTCGTGAAATTATTCATGGAATAATAAAGAATAATAATACTCGTAGTAAATTATAGTAGGATTATTGTTTAACTAGCATACATACATGTTGTACATAAATGATTTATAAATCTCTAACCGACAAAAGAGACGACCAACCGACCGACCGACCATTCTGAATATTTTTCTAAGACTTTTGATCAATTTCGCAACAATCTAACAGATCGTGAAACATTGTACATTTTTTATTAGTTTTTTTCGTTTTTTTTATTTACGATATGAACGTATAAAAGGGAACCTTTATGAAAAGATCTCTCTTTTATAATATGCACACCTTGGAAATACGAGAAAGGTAACCGAATGGCTTTTCCGTAACCCGCGATTGCCCCACCTTTCGTTTCGTCGATGGGTGCGAAGCCGAGAGAATAATAGTTCGCCGTTCGAGCGTAACTTTACGTCCGGTAAATCTTGCCAGTGTATTTTCAACGACAAGATAAGCTAACTCACGTTTATATATATATATGTATAGAAGTTTATAAAAAAAAAAAAAAGAAAAAAGTTTACGGGGTTGCTGGCAAACGTGACCTTAACAAAAAATATTTCAACTGAACTGAACTCTCTCATCATCTACATTTTGATTCGTTTCTTTGATGTTTTTATCATTTTCCGTAAATTAAACCATAGAAGAGAGAGAGAATGAAAATATATTAATAAAAAATGATTTATCAAAGTTCATGAAAAATCGTAAACTTTTTTTTATTGCAGACAATTTTCGATTGGTCACGTTAGGTATACCATTCAACTAGTATACGTACACTGACGTCGATGATCTTTCCCAAGCCCTATTCGTGATTTTTTTTTTTTTGTTCCTCTCCAATATCGATAATCTCCGGAACGGTCGGGGAGCTCCGTTAGGAAGTATACATCTATCTGATTTCACTTTGCTTCCTCGTCGAACGTGCGATAAATAATGAACGAGAGAAAAAACATCAATAAAATTCTATGCTCGTAAATCTTATTATAACATTCGAGAGAGAATGAGTGAAAGAGAGAGAGAGAGAGAGAGATAAAAGATCACTACTTTTCACATAGACGAGTGACGTTTAAAAGTATATGTATGTTATATTAGAAGATATACAATTTAGACGTATACACACAGAGGTAAGATCTACAAATAAATTGATCAGAAAGTGTTGAACGATCTGATAGTAAAATAAAATAAAAAAAAAGAAGAAATAATTTGGTTATTTTTTAAAGGAATTCAAAAAAATATTGTCTTAGATCGTTAAAGTGTTTCTTCTTACCTGATTTATGTCGCTGCCAAGGTCCCTAGCGCTCTTGGCACTCCTAAGTCGATCTCCGCGATATTCGCGATAGCGCATCGTGACCTCGTCGTCCGTCAATGCACCACTGCTACCACTTCTCGAATTCTTCTTATTCTTCTCTTCCTTGGCTTTCTTTTCTCTTTTACTGAACAACTGTTTAACCTTGCTCATCGTGCCACTTTTCTTCGCAGCTTTTTTCTCGTATTTCTTATCAGCACCAGTGGGAGGTTTAGACGTGACCAATCCGTTGTTCGATTTACCGCTACCGATATCGTTCGAATATTTCTCGTGGTTGTACTTTTGTTGTTCTAACGGAGTTAAATTCATATTCCTATCGGTATGCCTTCTCTCATTTTTGATAAATTGTCTACTAGCAAAGCCTTCATCCTCCGATTCGATCGTTTCACGTCTATCAGCTTCCTGCGAATCTCGTCTGTAATCATTTTCGATTCCAGAATCAGCTAATCGATCTTTCCTATCAGGATCGCTCAAACGTGTTTCCCGATAACGACGTTGTTCCATGTAAGCTCGAGTTTCTTGCGTTCTACCGTGTCTCGATTTACCATTTTCGTGATAACTTCTTAACGGTCTTGTCGGTGGTGTCTCATCTAAAGAACTTTTACCACGTGGACTTTCTCGAGCATCCGAATCGTCAAAGTAATCCAAATGATTGCGCGATCTTCTCAGTGGTTTTTTCGGTTCGGTTTCCAAAACGTTGCCGTTTCTATGATCCTTGCGCAGAGTAGTACGTTCGTCGTATCGCGTTTCACGACGAATCGATTCCCTAGCAGTGGTATCGGAATCGTAACGACTCGAACTATGACCACTAACACCAGGATCGGTATTTCGTATCGTAGTGTTCGGGCCAGTTCGATCGGTTCTTATGCGAGGCGGTGAACTATCGTAATCATCGTGAATCGGATGTTTGCCGTTGCTATATCTTTGGGTAGTTCGAGTCTCTTTGTAATATTTCGATTCTAATTGGCTATTGGTCATTTGCGAGATATCAGTGTCATAGTCATCGATCGGTCGTTCTCGTAAAATGTCGAGATGTCTTTTGGCGAATGGTGACGATCTTTCATCTTTTCTCATATTTGAATCATTGATGTGACTGCAAAGATTCTCGTGTGACCTCGTGGTATATTCGTTTCGTAAAATTCTCGAATTATCACCAAGTTCGTTCAAACGTTGGGTCGATTTACTCATGCCGCGAATCGATTCGAAATTTTTATTCATTTTTGATAGATTTTCGTTGGGACGTACGTCACGATCTAAGAAATCGTCGCTTTTAGAAAGTTTCCTTTCCGCAGTAAATTTTCTTACTACGATTGGCGAGGATAGGGTATCGGTGTCCTTTGGATCGTTACGGAAGTAATGACTCGTTCTTGGATGGGTAGATTCATCTGGTAAATAATTAGTAGACTTATAAGGACCACCTAAATGATTTCGGCCATTCTCGAATCTTTCTTCCGGGCTGGTCCTACTTCTGTCACTGAGAAAAGGTTTAAAGTCGTCCGCATAACTACCGTGCGTCCTAGTTTCGACGATGTACTTGTCCCCGTACTTGTCTGTCCTCGTTTCAACCGTATAACCATCTCGTGGTTTGGATTCGACGTAACCATCCGATGGAATTTTGTTAGTAATTTTCTTTTCGTATCCATAAACTTTGCCGTTGTCCTCGTGTATCTGTTTTTCAAAAATATATTTCTCGCCATTGCTGCTAGTTCTAGTCTCCGTGATGTAGGTGTCGGTGTAACGTTTAGGCGATGATATTCGATTAGGCGTAACCGGAGACGGGACGATTGGTTTGTCGATAATCTCGTGTTCGGATTTTTTGATCGATACGTTTGCCGTATTTTTGGCAGCGTACATTTCATCAGCAAGTAGCCTCGATTTGATCCTAGATTCTAAAAGATCTCGTCTTGCACTCAATTCCGACGTTTTATTGGATATACCACTTTGATGATTTGGTCTCGAGGTGAGATCCGTGCTATCTCTACCACTGGTATCGACGAAAATCGTTGACGTATATTTCTCCGGTTCGTAACGTCGATCCAATTCTATCTCGTCTTCTGGACACCGATTGTCCAGGTCTCTGGAGGATAGGAAATCCTTGGAACCACCGAAATGATTACCGAAACGGGAAGTCGTCGTACTCTTGCGAGTTTCCTCGTAACGAGACTTGATATTATTGATCTCGTTGTTACGTCTCAGATCGCTACTGTAAGAATAATCCGTTCTACGATATTCTTTTTCGGCTGGACTATTCTCGCGAGACGAGTCCTTCCTTTCGAGACCCAAACCTTCGTCGCTATCGGAATGACTCCTCTGAGCCTTCTTTTTATCCGTTTGCACTTGAGCATACATAACGTTCGTTTGCGAAGGTGGTGGACTACAGGAATCGTTCGGCCTTGTATAAGAGAAGGGTCGATTATTGTTGTGTCCAAAACCGGGTCCCGGTGAGACCATAGTTCTCGTCAGCTGTGGCGGTGGCGAACGATCGTTGGTCAATCGATGAATCATCTTGTTGATCGTCGATTCCTCGCCTCGTTTCTGAAGATCGTATCTGCTGCTGTGCAGCATACTCCCGACCCGGTCGACCTCGTCGACCTCCTCCTCCTCCTCCTCCTCCCCCTCTCCCTCTCCCTCTTTAACTTCGGACGACGCGATACGATTCGTTGTTTCCGTCTTCCTCCTAGAAGCCGTCACTTCCTTCTCTTCACCGGTAATACGATCCTTATCATTCGTGATATCTACTCGTTTCTGCCTATCAACGAGTTTATTATCTTTCCTCGGGTCTTCGATCGATCGATCGAGAGAGATCTCGGTAATAGTCTCTTCGATCCTCTCTTTCCTTTCGACCCGTTCGATTATTCTCTCGACATCTGTACCACCTTCCTCCTGCTTCGATTTTTTAGCATCAGGCTTACTACCTTCCTCCTTGCCGACCACGCCAAAATGAAACGGTTGTGTCTGATCTACCTGAGGCGATGCTTCGATTATCGGCGATAATTGTTTCTTTGCTCGTGCCGAACTACTCAAATGCGATCCTTCGCTTTCGCTACCGCTTCTCTTACGATATTGTCTAGTGAACGTACCCAAGTCGCTTACGCTACGTCCCACAGGTTTCCTTTTTCTTTCTAATTTTGGTGAAAAAAATTTGGCCAATGTACCCTTCAATTTTTTCGAACTCGCATCGCTGTTGCTTCTCTCCAATGTTTTCTTCTTAGGTTTTGGTGTCCAAGACAATTGATTATCAACACCACCAGCACTACCACCACCACCACCATCACCACCACCACCAATAATACCACCACCACTACCACCACTATTCGTCGTAGTAGCACCGATTTCTTCGCTCTTACGTCTCTTTACATCTAACGGCAATTCTGGACGTTTTTTATTAACGTTCCCTCCTCCTCGTCGTGCTGGTAAAGTGCTGAATTTACCAGGTAACCGTCTATTGTCGTGTGCCACGCAACGCAAGCTACCAACTTGTTGCAACACCAATGCTGCTTCTTGAGCTAAGTCTTCTTTACTGCGCGATAATATATTTTCCTTGTGCACCGGGCTCAAGATCAACCTACCTTCTCCATTTCCTACGAGAGCCGCGGCCACGCGCGGTGTACCACGTCCTGAAACAATCGATATTCGATTATAATCCTTGCCGACTTTTTATATTGCATGGGGATGTCTTTTGAATATGAATATTTTTGTTCGGAAAAGAAAATTATACTCGATCATGACAAGAGAATTAAGAGACACCCTTTATAAGTGATATTCCACGTAGATTAATCCGTACAACGGAAGAACAAGAATTTAGGAATTTTAATCAAACTGATAATAGATATCGGCCATGCTTAAGAGCATGAGTTCTTCTAAATTAGCGATTTATGTTAAATAGCACGGTCGTTAGTAGTTAATCACCAAGTTTAATCGCCAACCGACGCACGTCGTCGTCGTCGTCGTCGTCGTCTCTTGCTAACCGAACGAGTTAGTTTGAAAGCCGCTAAATCGTTCCACTGATTAGATCTACTTTTTGTTTCTGTTTTATTTTGATTCTCTTTGAAAGCTAACAGAAGGATGACTCGTGATTAGTTTGGCTTAAGCGAATTTCGTGTTCACTCGATCTCGTAATTTCACGTTTAGTTTCGTATCGATTAGAATAACTTGGCTCGTTACTCGTGTAAAAGGTCGAACTTTCGCTGTCTAAAACTTTTCTATCACGTGTACAACACGTTTTCTTTCATTCCTTTTTCCCTATTTAAAACCACTCGTCGTACGTTGAAACATTTCAACTTTAAGTCTCATTAATATTATCTGAAAGAACGAATTGAAGTGCATTTTTATAATCGATACTTTACGAACGTGTATTATATATATATATATGTTCAGTCGGTGTAAGCTTTGAGATAAAGAGTTCGAGGAGCGGTTGAACGCATAAACGAACGCATAAACGAACGCAAAAACGAACGCGAAAGGCAGCACGAGGGCAAAGGTCAACGGGTGTGTACGCAACGGCTCAGCACGCCCACGCTTCGAAGCAGGTATCATCCAACCGTACCAGATCGCAATCTCCTTTAATAAAGCATCCTTCTCGCGTCTCGAATCGTGCTACGGAACTTTACAATCTTTGTTGTTTTTTTTTCTTTCTTTCTTTCTTTCTTTTATATTTATTTATCGAATAGCAGATATACAATAAAATCAAAAATGATTGAATAAAAAAAAAATATTATCAAATGTATCCTTCCTATCCTGTGATCGACATTTTTGTTAATTAGGTGAACGTTAAACGTCGAAAACACAGATAGTTGTTTAAAGATTATACGAATCAACGTAACAAGTGTCTCCTGATAATCTTGATCGATGGATTTATAGCATCACTTGTTTTCTACACGAATGCAATGATCAAACCGAGGTCATCTATGGACACCTCTTCTCGACTCGAAGGAGGTCGTCCTGGCGACTCTAATCGCTGTTCCTCGTCGACTAAACTGTCGTTCGTGCCACTTTTAGTACAAACACTAAAAGCTAGTAGATCTTACAATTAGATGCTTCTCTTCCCAAGCACCATTTCCAATAACTTTGTTCGAACCTTTGAGCGGTTTTTTTTTTCTTTCTCGCGCGTGGGAAATGGGAACTTTAAAACAAACCCCCTTTTTCCTTCTCTCTCTCTCTCTCTCTCTCTAAACGATTTACTTTACTGCCGTTTCCGTTTCTTCTCCTTTGATTTTTTATTTTTTATTTTGTATTTTTTTCCCCCCCTTCGAGACTTTGTCTTTACGATCTTCGGTCTTTGACAAAAGAAGCTTTGTCCATGAATTCCTCTCTTTTCCTATCCCCTTTTTCGCGCAAAGTTATCTCCTTTAACAAAGAAACCGGTAAAAAGGGAAGAATTTTATTTTATTTTAATTTTATTTTTATTTCTTCAAGCCTGAGAAAAAAAACTATAAATAAACGATAAACAATATGTCATAGAATAAAAATAAATAGAACAAGTTAAGAAAATAGTAAAAGTACGAGAAACATTTCTAATCTCACGATAAGAACAACGCGTTTACGGGGAAAAAAATGTATCTATTGGTTTTTTTTTTCTTTTTTGTTTCTAATACGATAAAAGTTGCTTTAATTACGTTCAACGATAAGGATTACTTCTTTATTCACGTCTGATGAGAATTAATCGTGGCCCTGTATAGGAATTTGTTTTCTTTTTTATTCTTTCAACGAGAAACTCTCGCTCTCTCTCTCTCTCTCTCTTTCTGGGGCTTCTTAATACATTTAAATATCTTCTAGATACGTATATACAAGGAATACATATATGTATATATATCTATATACCAGGAACGAGGGAACGAGCGGGTAATTTTAATCGCGATAACGAGTTTTAACGCTTGAGATGGGGAGAGTAAGGCGAGTAGAATCAATAGCCTCATGATTCTTTGATCTCGGACAAGACGCGATTCGATACCGTGATTCCAAAGACTAATTATTACCAGGATGTGCTGATCCGCACACGAGAATTACACCGACGTGCACGCATCGCATAAGTATGTATGCAGACACGACCAGAACTTCTTCCATTTGCCGAATAGAGAAAGAAAGAGAAAGAGAGAAAGAGGTTCCGATGTGTATTAGCATGTGGTGCACGTTTATGCCGAGTAGGAATTGATGTGAGAGAGAAAGAAAGAGAAAGAGAGAGAGAGAGAGAGAGAGAGAGAAATAGAGATAGAATGTGTGATGGGAAAGAGAAAGAAAGAAAGAAAGAGAGAGAGAGTTCTATAACCGATCGTGAGGTACTTCTTGACGATGAGTACCTTTGAGATATTCTACCAAGAGGCTTAGGCAAATGGCATGCACGAGACGAGTCAGTGATTTTCAAACAGTCCTTTGATCTTTATTTTTCAACCTCAAAAACACTTTAACGATGTTGTACTTCTTCTTATATTTATCATCGATATTTCTCATAACTTTCTTTTTATTTATTTTTTCTTTTTTTTTATTTGTAGAACGTTTTCAATATGCAATTTTACATCAATAATTTCTCGTACGGTTGACAGTTTTTTTTTTTTTTTATATCTAATCCAATTATTCGAAAATGTTCATACGTCATTCTCAACTTCCTATAATTTTGTCCCGACGTTTTTTTAATTTTTTTTTTTTTCATTTTTACCAATTAAATTTTATTACACGTATCATTGAACTACAAGATGGACTTCTTAGACACGGACCCAATAATATATCTTAATCATTTTTTTGTAATTATAAATGAATATTATTTATATATATGTATTTTTACGATAATAATTGGAAAAATATTGAACATCATTTTTTCAAATTTACATTTATATATATTCCATTTGTTACATGAAACTAAAATAGAAAAAAAAAAACAGATTTGTGCAGATCACACACGGTAGAAGTGAAACCTTCAAAGAAAATCAAGCTTCGAAATAATTGAATTGTTATACAGTGCCATCTATTGAAAGAACCTTACAGAACCAAAATTGTGCTATGTGCTAAGTTGGAAAAAATCACGTGTGAAATAAAATTAATTTCATTAAAATAAGTTGAGTAGTTTCGGAATTATTAGTGGACAAACATATTGTTATACTGAATTTTTATATATAGAATTTTATTAATTAATTAATTATTTATTTTTGTTTCATCGGTTTCACGATTTCTTCCGTTTCACGATTTTCAAATCACCCTGATTCTAAAGAATTTTTTTTCACTTCAAAAAAGAAAAGAAAATTTAATATCAATGCGTTAACAAGATTCAATAATTGCAGTTGAAATGTAAACGAGTCTGAGTGACGTTTCGATGTCTCATTAAATAAACGTAGATTTAATTAACGCGACATTAACGAACGTCACGAGTTACTTGAAATACGTCATACCCAAGAGCCGTCATTCGTTCGTTCATTCCTTCGTTCGTTCGTTCGTTCGTTCGTTCGTTCGTTCGTTCGTTGGATGAACATGCGAATAGTTAAGATCGTTTCATGTCGTTTGACGAGTTTCTAATCCGTTTTAAAGACGTTCCCTATTAAGTCAATATCGTGAACACATTAAAACAAGTTTGACACGTGTTCTATTTTCGGTAGGAAGATCATTCACGATTCTTAAACACGTGTCTCGTCTTTCATATTACGTATCAAACTTCCTATTTTTATTTATTTAAATGATCCAACACAAATATTTCTTAACAAATGATCATTTTCTATCGACCTACGAGTGCAAAATTTAAAAACAAAAAAATGAATTGAAATTGAATGATGTAATCAGATTGCAATGATTTTTTTGATCAATCGAGTCTTTGGGGGTAGGGGTGTATATGAAGTTCACAAGTATTATATTATCTTTCTCTCTCTCTCTCTCTCTCTCTCTTTGTTTCTTTTTCACATAGACTATATTCCCACGTATCTTTTGCATAGTCGACGTATCGGTGCGTCAGCCAATAATTAACTCTTCGTGGTAATCGCTGGTGCGCGTAGCCTTTCAGATCTAACGTTTCCGGGCCTGGGGTAGATGAGCTTCTCTCTCTCTCTCTCTCTCTCTCTCTCTTTCTCTTTCTTTTTCTCTCTTTCTCGGAGGATGGTGTATGGTGTGTACCAATCTCGTGCGTTGCTGCTCGGTGACTAGCCGAATGTATGGGACAGCTCGTAGGGTGAAAATTGACGTCACGCGGTTGGAAGATCTCGTGGTTTATACGCGAACGATTTATGCTCGATTAATGGCAGCTAACAATTTGACTCGGCTTCGGGGGAATGAAATAAAAATAAAAAGAAAAAGAACAAGAAAGAGAGAGAGAGAGGGAGAGAGAGAGAAAGAGAAAAAGATGCGTGTTAGAAGAAGGATGGATAGGATGGCAGGTGCTTTGCGAAGGTGCACGCTTCTCGAACGAACCAAAGAAAGAAGAAGAGTGGTGGGGGTAAGGAGAAAGAATTGGCGGAAGTGCAAGTGGCGTCTTGCCGCGGGGGGTCAAAGATCACAACCACGGAGCTGACCCACTCTTTCGATGCTCGTAAATGTTTTTCTCTCAAGAAGAAGGTACACTATACCACCACCACAACTACTACCACTACCACAATCATTGTAGATCCTTTTGCTTCCATAGCAAGAATAAGAAAGAGAGAAA